ACATGGAATTGGGATCTTCAAATTGATTTTAATATAGCCATTGCTGGCATGCTGCCATTAATGCCTGCATAGTTCAGTGAGGAGACCACAGAGTGTCTCATAATTGGAGGTCAGACTACACCAAAGTTGGCCTCCCTTGGTCAGTGTAATTAGCTGAGCAGGAAGGGTTTGTACAGGGCCTCTGAAGTTGTATTTTCCTCATTGCCATTCACATGACCAGCTCAGAAGAATCACTTGGATCCACAATGTACGGATGAGTAGATAGTGTAAAAGAAAGTTCAAATTCCTTGGCATTGCAGCACGTCTGGCAGGACTGAAAATGGGACTTCAAAAGAGCTGTTTAACCAGGAGGATGGTTGTGTCATTCTCACCATTCCAGCACACAGGGAGCACGTGCAGGCTGGTACAAAATCAGCTTGGACTAGTGCATATTCCATTCCTGTTCAGTGCTGCTTTTTCTTTTCTTCAAGTCACTTTCTCCTCTGTGACTCATCGTTTTGTCTTTAGATCTTGTACTGGAGCCAGATCATAAGCAACCAGAATGTTGAGCTGTGCTCAACCATTCATGTAGCTCCAGTTGCTGTTGCTTAAAAAAAAAATCACATAAATGTACCAGACTCTGACTTTTACTGTTAGTAAAAGTCCTTCTTTTCAAAAGGAACTTTTCAAAAGTTCCTTCTGTGGTTGTAGCCCTCCTAGTCAGGAGCATCCTTTGTTTCTTCTGTTGGTTTCCATTGAGATCTGGTAGATATTTATGTCTTTTGCTGATCATTAATTTCTCCATAGCTTTGATTTACCTTTCCCTTTACTGCTCAGTTTCATCTTGTCCCCTCTTCCCTACATATCTTTAAAAGATTCCAAATGTGGATTAAATCTGAAGGCACTTCTCATTCATCTAATTTCTGAACTGTTGACATAAACACATAATTTACCACCACCTATCAAACTAGAATCGTTATCATTGCTCTGTTTTGTCCTTTGTTAATACTTCTAACACAAACTAAAATTATGATTCTAATAATGATTCTGTAAATCACCGGTCAGATTGCTGTCTTCTACTTGAGCAGCAAGAGTCCTCAGATCATACAAAAGAAACCTAAAGTGTGGTCTGCACACTGTATTAATTTCTTCTTGTTTATCACACTTCTTTAATAAACTCCATTTTTATCCTTGGCATCTAGGCTGCAACTATTTACTCGAGTACAGGAAAACATTTACTTATCAGAGAATTAAATGGGTTAAGCCAGCGGGAATATTTCCCAAATAAGGAATTCAAATATCAGCCCTAAGCTAGGAAGGCAAAAGTCTCTTGAGACACTGTTTTCTCACCTCCTGTCCATTTAATTTGTTACTCCCATGCTTTCACATATTTGATGGCTGCTTGACAATTTTATTGTGTGTTGTACCGTCCCTCAGCAATCACACCTCCCTCTCCCTCCTTCTCTCGGTGGTCACACAGCTCACATCCGATACTCATCTCCACCACTAAGGGTTCTATTGTCCCCTTGATATGTACGTGCAACTCCCACTGCTGTCAATAGGAATTACATGTGTGCATCAAGCAGGGCAAAATCCCTCGTGTTCTCTCCGCTCCTCATTATCCTGGCACAGTCAGCTCTGTAGATGGCTCATCTATGAGCCTTTTATTCTCTTGAGTGTTGTGCAGTGCAGCAAGTTGGCTGTTAGGATCAGAAGTTTTGTTCTTGAGGTGTTTAGCAAGTTGATTTACTGTGCATGTGCACGCTCTTAAATGTCTTCATCCAGCCAAACCCACATCTTGTAGCATTTGTGTGTTAGACAGTAGAGCTTCCTATTTCCATTTTGTGCCAGAGCACCAGTTCCTTACCAGTCTCCCATCAGATTCCAAGTGAAATGAGACTCCGAAGCGAACCCTCCCAAATAACATATGTTCAAGCCCAGCTCAGACCTGTAATCTTAAATGCAATAGTTTGTGAAAAATTCAGTAGGTAAAAAAATGTAAATGGCATATTTTAATTTTCCTTAAAAATCTGAAGGAAGATATTTTGTAAGTACTTCATGTTAAGTGCTTCTAAACAAGGAGGTAGTTGAAATGGTAGCCTATCAGTTAGAAAAACTGTAATTCCTTCCAAAATTAATTGGAGTGTAAAGAGTTGAAGGAAAATGGTAGAGTGAAAGAAACCACACAGGTAAACCAGTGATTTCCATTGTCTGAATGCAGGATCTGTATTCTCCTCTGACCCTTCTGGAAACACCTCAGTTTGGGAAGGCCCCCACTGTCTCACACAGCCCAGTGTTATTAGAAACATAACCTGGACTCGTACTCACTCCATTTGCAGCCTCATTTCCTGAGCACAGAGTTTGTTACCACAGCTTAGAAAAGAGAGATGGCAAAGGAGTTTGGGAAAAAAAATCAATTTGCCATCAGATTAGAAATCAACTGTAAACATGTTGAAGAATTCTATTTTTTTTTCCACTACTGCTCTGCCTTTTCTTCACAATCTGTTGTGGTGTCAGACTTATTTTGACAATACTTGTAGAACTTGTCATATTAACAAAGTTATCAAACAGAACGAGCACATGCATAGCAACAGCTGTAGTCCAGCAAGAGTCAAAATAACCAGCCACAGGTATTCACAAAGAAATATCCACTCTGTAGTTGCCCAAATCCAAAATATTCCCAGTAGACACCAGAGCACTTGTAGTTTTATTTAAATAGCAACTGCCCTTCAACTTGGAACAATCTACTCCAAACTTTTGAGGATAAATATAAAAGAAGAAAATGTATTTTATATATATATATATACACATAAGGATTTATTTTTGTTATGATAGTGTCACTTGATTATTTCTCCCTCTGTGAAAGTGCTTCATAAAAAAGGGTCTACGTTAAATTCAATACAATGATGGGATTTATTTCATGTTATATAACAAACTCAGAAACGCTTGTTTAAAAACAAAATAAACCCCATAATCCACTAAGACTGTAAATTGGTGGGGCTGGAACAATCTTTTCATTATTCGTGTCTACAGAGCTTAATACAATGAGGCCTCAGTTCTCCGCTAACGTCTCTAGGTGTTAACACAATGCTATTAAATCTACTCAATAGCCAAAGATGCAGTCAGTGGATTTATGTGTCTCATTCCTTCAGAAACGTGAAAATCTCACAGAACAGTTTAATGACCAGATTTTTCAGCTGCAGTGTCTGACTTTGCACGTACATCAGATAGTGTGCATCTATTTATGCAAATCGTTGTGGGATTTATATGCACAAAATATACATGCCCAGGAACTTCTACTTGTGGCATTGAGTTGCATTGGGAGAGGGAGAGGATGGTGTTTGGGTGCCAGGGTCATGCTGTAGGAAAAGAGCAGGAGCTTGAAACCACTGCTTTCTGCTCTCAGTTTTCTGTGTGACTGAAGTTTCACTTTCTGGCCCTGCGTTGATCTTCCTTTATTTTTACACCAGAAAACCGCTAGTTCAGTGGAGTTAGCTTTCTCTGCTACTGATGTGGATGTGGATTAGGCCTGACAAGCCTATTTTCCTCTAAGAAAAGCAGAGCCAGGCTCACGGACACGGCTGAGGAGCTGTTTCTGGCACTACCAATTTCTCTATCTGATCCTCAGCTCACCTAAATCATTCTCTGCTGGAGAGGCACTTGCTGCACCCTCCCCAGCGTGAGTGCAGAGCCTGAAGTGGGGGCTCAGGGACCTGCACCCCCATCCCTGCCCGCCCAGAGCCCATCCTGACCCTCATCCCACAGAGCCAGACCCGGCTGCCATGGAGGCACCTCCTGCCCTCACAGAGGGGTGATACCAGCAAAGCCCTTTGCAGGTGAAGCAGAAGGTCCCTGCCATGGCAGGGCTGTGGTTTCTTCTGTTGTCATTCTTCTCCAGGTATTCCAGTTTTTTATCTCTGGATATATTATTTTTTTTCCTCCCCAGTAGGTAATTTTTCCTGTGGAGTTGCTACTCCCTTCTAATGCCACCTTTCCTCATGGCCTGGGCTCTGCTCTCCTCACGGGATACACTCACCAACCTATGGATATATGCCTTTCCTATGGGCACACTCATTTTCCTCACAGGATACACATGCTTTTCACCTGGATACATTAGTTTTTTCCGCACTGGGCACACCTTTCCAGGGATATATCACTTTTCTCCTCGGTATGCTACTTTTTCCCTCAATGGACATTCTACTTGTTCCTCCGTGGACACATGTAGAGAGGACTGGAGGAAATGCCTTAAGGTAATGCGATAGCCTTAAGGTGAGACAGGGGAGATTCAGACTCGGTACTAGAAAACACGTTGGCACTGTTGGGGCGGTCAGGGATTGGAATGGGCTGGTCAGGGACTGGAATGGGCTGGTCAGGGATTGGAATGGGCTGGTCAGGGATTGGAATGGGCTGGTCAGGGATTGGAATGGGCTGGTCAGGGACTGGAATGGGCTGCCCAGGGAGGTGGCGGAGTCACCATCCCCGGGGGCGTTCAGGACGCGCTGGGTGATGCGCTTTAGTGCTTTAGGCTGCGCAGGGTTGAACGCTTGGACTTGCCGATCTCAAAGGTCTCTTCCAGCCTTGACGATTCCACGATCCATCTCCATCATCTCCGGGTTGTTTGTTTGTTTCCCCCCCCCCCCCCCCCCCCGTCTCCATCATCTCCGGATGCGCTGGGGTATTTTTATTTTTTTTTTTTTCCCCGTAATACGCCAATTTTTTCACCTTCGGTCATTTAAGTTCGTTCTCCGCGCAGCCGAGGCTCCCCGCGGAGCTCCGCAGGGCGCCGAGGGACGCGGCGACGCCGAACTCCCCCCCCTCCCGCTTTTCCTTGGCGCTCTCCCTCGCCCTCCCTTTCCCCACGCTCGCCCTCGACCCCTCCCCTCAGCGGGGCGGCGCCTGCCGCTTTAAGGCGGCGCGTGCCCGCGCGCGGCGGGGCGGGGCGTGGCGGCGGCGCGCGCTTCACCTGCAGCCCGGAGCGGGCAGCGAGCGGCGGGAGCGGGGCGGCAGCGGCGACCCCCCGGCCCCGGCTCTGCGCGGCCACCGCCCCCCGCCCGGCGGGGCCATGAGGACCGGCTCGAGGGTGCTGCTGGTGCTGCTGCTCCTCCTTCCCGCCTGGGGCTCGGCGGCGGTAAGTGGGGCGCCCCACGGCGCGGAGGGGGGGACAGCGGGCGAGCATCACCCGTTCGATTCCCGTCCCCCGGAGGTGTCGCCGCGCCGCCCCGGCCGCAACTTCGCGGCGCGCGGGGCTTTTCGGGCGGCGGGTGCTGCTGCTGCCGCCGCCGCTCCGCCGTTTCGCCCGCTTTTTAAAATCGTCGTTGCGGGGTTTAATTGTTAATTTTTTATTTTATTTTTTTTTTGTTAAGCTGCACCTCCGCGGTGCGGGCGCAACTTGCCCTCCCTGCTTGCGCCTCGCCGGACAGAAACTTCGCGGGCAGCGGCGCGTCCCGGCGCGGAGCCGCTCCGCCCGCCCAGCCCCGCGGAGCCGCCGCGCTGCGCTCCCCGCCGCCCGCCCCGCGGAGCAGCCCTGAACTTTTATCTTTACGAGCCCCTAAACCCACCGGGCGGGCGCGGACCGTGTTTGTGAGGGGGTGGTGATGGTCTGAAAAGTTTGGGATTTTTAGGGTTTTATTTGCACCCCGTCTGAAATGCAGGGGGTCCGTAGAACATCAACAAGCGCCTGGACGCGTGGCTGCAGTGTTACAAAGCGAGCGGGGCTGCCGCTGGGTTTCGGGCTGCACTGGCTGCGGGAACAAGAGCCGTTTATTTTTCTGCCTCGATCCCCCGGTGCCAAGTTGAATGTGTGAGGATGTCCCGAGCCTTGGGGAGGCTGCTGGGTGCGCAGGAATAGCCCCCGTGCGCTCTCGTTTAGCGAGCACCGCTGTAATAATGGGGCGATTTCAGATTCAAAGCCTGTTACGTTCAGCGAGACCCTTAGAAATGTTTCCTAATGGCAACATCTTGCCAGTGACGGTCAGAGTCCACGGAGCCGCCGCTTCCTTGCGCTTCCCATGCAGTAGCTGGCATCCGTCTCCCGAGCGTGATTCTTAGCCGAGTACGTTGGCTTGCGTTCTGCTTAGTAAGCTCATCCGAAAGGACCCTTCGCTCCGCTTCCCTTCTGTCTCTCTCTAATGCAGCATCGTCTGCGTCCGGGAGTGTTTCGGGGGCCTCAGGGGAGCTCTGATGCTCCCCCCGGAGAGGCAGGTGCACGCCTGGAGTTGCACTTTCCCGAGGAAGTGCCTCTCCTGGTCCCCGGGCTTCAGCGAGCGGCTGGGACTGGAGGCGTCGGAGGTGCAGCCGGCATCGCTAAGCGATGCTCTGGCTGGCTCTGCCGACAGCCCGGGCGCGTTAGAAATCCCCTGCCACCAGCACTTGTTTGTGCGTAAATCACCTGGCACTCGTTAGGCATAAATCACTGGCTTGTGTGCTGTCAGCGAGTTCCTTGGAGTTGGGGTCTGGGACCTTCTTTGCCAGGGAATCCCAAGGAGCCTGGTCTGCTGTGACTGGACTACTTTGTCCCTGTGGCAGGGGCTGGATCCCCTCTGTGCAGTCTAAAGTTGCAGCTGAGTGTTTAGCTGGATGCTTATCCCTGGTACCTGGCACGCTGTGTATGAGACTGTGCATTGTTACGTTTTTGATTGAGATCCCCTCCATCCTCTCCTACTGCTGGGCAAGTGCGGAGCCTGGAGGGTCCCAGAGGCAGCAGCAGGCAGAGCCTTGGAGGCTGGCGCAGGGTGAAGGGGAAGGAAGGAAGGGTGTCTCTACCTGGTCTCAGGCTCCTGAGGCTGCTGTGAGCTGGCTGTTTGTCCCCCTTCTGTCCTGTGCTTTGCCCAGTATCTCAATAGTAAACCTCAGTGATTTGGATGTTGCAACATCAGGCCTTTCCGTGTCTCCAGTGCGAGCACAGCTCGCCCTGATGAATTGCTACTCTTTGTTTCCTCCCCTCTTCTGACAGTGCCCACTATCCCAGTCTTCCTACAAAACAATGCTCTCTTGTAGTCAGGCAACTACTTGCTGGCCCATTTTATTTTTGCAGCTACAGTATGGATCCACTCCAACAGATAGACACTCTAACACCAGCAGCTTCTGCTTGCACACTGCCTTACTGTGCAGGTTTGCCCATACCTATAACACGTCATCATTGGGTACAAAACATTCTCCCAAATGACAAAAGTCATGGTGTGCATTTTCCTTGTTTTTTTTCAGGCACACAATGGGGATCTTACAGTGAGACCCACATGCAAGCCTGGCTTCTCAGAGCAAGACTACACAGCATTCGTCTCCCAAAACATCATGGAAGGGCAGAAGTTACTCAAAGGTAAGTGGAATAAAAAGCTTAATAGCTTCTGCAATAACTGTATTTTCAGGAGGTGAAAGGAGGCTTAAAGATGCTGGTTTTGATGGTGAAATTGTCTGCAGAATTATGTTTGTAGGAGGATGAAACACTAAGTGGTTTACCTGAGCACAGTTTTGAATACAGATGAATCACTGGAAGTCCGCGTGCTGTCTGCTCCAGGTGGATTGTTTGCTGTAGTATGCGAGGTCATCACTCTTAAGTCTCCCACTCCCACCCTGTCTGAAGGAGCTCTACATTTGATATTTTAGAAAGTATTTTTATGTATGAAATTCAAAGATCCCTAAATTATCCCTGCTTTGAAATGCATGATAAAGCAGACGTTGTTGTTGGAAATGTGGTAAACAAGCCTACAGACATTCTGTTCACAAATGTGGCATTCATTTTCATTACTGCCCCACTGACAACATGAAAACATAGGCAAAAAGAAACTACCAATTAGCTTTATAGTAATTGCGGGATTATAACCAGTTTTGTGATTGTAAACTCTGAGATGTCTTCGTAATCCAAATAACAACAGATTATCCTGTGTATTGATTCGTCTCCTTTTCAAGTTAAAAATAATTAAACTTTAGATTTGCATGGCACAGGAAAATACTGTTTTACTCCAAGAGAATTTTTGAAGATCAAACCTCACCCCCCCAAGCACCCCCAGGAAGGTGGGGAGCACATCAGAACGATGCTCTACTCAAGGGTTTATAAACCTTTTGCTGCTTTCTCCTGAGTACAGTTACTCACATGCATCTCTCTGCCAGAAGGCTGGGATTTCTGTCTTCCTCCAGAGCAAACACCTGCTCTGTTACTTTGATTTTTCTGAGAAGAGAGGGAGAGTTGTCAGTGTTCTCTCTGGCTTCAGCAGAATCCAGGACTGGACATTTTTGCTCTCCATGAGCTGGCAATCCATTTTGTTTCTGGGCCCAGTTGTCTTAGTGTTGCTGTTCAGGAATTCTCTTGCCTGGCCTGGCATCAATTAGTAAACATTGGGGAGTTTGTTTTTAGTTTGAAGGGTAACCAAATAAGGAACTGACACAGACAATCCCAGGAATACAGCAACATTGGAGAGACCAAATACCAAGCATTTACACACATAATAGCAATTTTTCCCAAAGATTTACACTGGCTTTACAGGTCAGTCTGGAAACTGAGTAGATTTCATGCTTTTTTAGCTTTGGAAATTATTTGATAAAAAATGTTCTCCAAGTACCGTAGAAAGCAATATCATAAATATATTTGCTCAGAAGAGTATTTTTTGCAGTTTAGTGCTTGATAAATTGTGCTGTGTGTTTATGGAGGTGGACAACAGGGATGGAGCAGAAGGTCTCTTTAGAGGCATTAGCTGGCATTGACTTTGAAGAGAGCACAGTGCTGTCATTTCATTTCAGTTTTAAATAATTTTTAAATATGAAATTATATTTACATAGGCTGTCAAGTTGATTTGAATGAAAATATATTTCCATTTCATATTATCCTTTAGGGACCAGTTGTAGTTTCACATTAGTCATGGCAAACCTGCCTCTGATTTAGGGCTGAACTCACCCTGGGGACATTATATATCTGTGCCCCACTTGTAAGATTCATGACCTGATAACATTGTCACAAGCTCCATGATTTATAAGCATTTTGTCAACCAAAGGAGAAAGAAAAAAGTGCAAGTGCTGTGTTTGCTAATAAATAAACTATCATCTTTACACCTTTTAATCTATAGTCAAATACATGCTGTTGTTTATCATAGGAAGCAAATATATCTAATTAATTTATACAATAATGGGCGAGAAGATTCTTCTTCATGCTTGTGTTGTTTTTTATATATACTCTAGCCTGTAAAATTGGTAGTTTTCCAGTTTAGGTTTAATTTTACTTCCTAACACTTGATATGTCTGAAGCATAAAATGTTTATCTCTTTCTTCCATCTGGGTGAAGTATTGTACAATAGTTCAGACCAAAAATGGGTTCAGATTGCTTACATTATCGTGTTTGATAGATTGACATATGTACTGTTTCACACCATCTTACCACGCAAAGCTTTGCTGCCAGCTACCACCATCTTATTCATCAGCATTCAGTAATTCATCTTCAGGCCAAATGGGACTGTTTGCCTGGGGAAAAAAAAAAAAAGTAGGCAGGAATTCACCTGTCAGTGCTTTCATGGAATTTGGGAGGGGGGGGCAGTGTATATGTAGTGCAAGTGGCTCTCAGGGGATTTCAGTGAGCAAATATAAGGTCTTTAAGGTGCAGAATCCTCATTTTGTCCTGAGGAAGGAGATGTGGGACAGTTTATACTGCCTGAAGGGTTGTTCATCAGAAACCAGGGAGTATGTAGAGCTCAGCGTAGTGGTGAACTTCCACCAGCTGGGGAAGTTTGGATGTCCCATGGATCAGGATAAGCTGCGTGGCAATAAACCCAACATCTCCTTTTTAAGCTTTGTAATATCCAGCTCTCAAATGTATGCAGTGTTATGAATGTATCAAAATGAAAGTGTTTATAGTATTCTAGGTTTGAATCAACTTAAATAGATAATGACTGCTTATAATTGGCTTATTCCAATGGAAATAGCTTAGCCTTAATTTGACAACAAGAGCTTTTACAGAGTCATTGTTTTATTATAAGTATGCCGTAAGCTATTAGCTACTACTTTGTGGTTCCTCTTATTTGCCTGAGTCAGCTCTCTAACGTGCTCAAAACATACAGATTCTAGCAGGAGTTATTTGTTACACAGTAATTAACTTGTTTATGATAAATGGATGGGAGAAATGTCACGGCATTTTGTTTTATGTATAAATGAAAAGCATCTGCATTCTAAAAATTCCATGTTAATTAGACTTAAAATAGTTTTCCCCAACAGTGCCACAAATACCACATATTGCACATCACTGCCAGCCCTGTGGCCTGATGATGGGATATTAGCTGAGGTGATTTGTGGAGCCAGTGCCTGCCTTAGAAATGCCGTCCCTGCATCTCTTAATGAAAGTTACTGGGGTGTAATTTGTTATATTTCTTTTGTCTTTGTGTTTGTTTGCACGATAATAAACTGAGCCTTGATCACTGATGCACGATAATGTTTAAAATAGGTTTGTTAACTATCTTCTTCTTTAGCCTAAGGGGAAAATCTCAAAGCCTGCAGTATGGCAGAGGACGATTGCAGCACGGGTATCTTTTCCTCTTTTTTAATTATTGATGTTAACTTAACATGGTGAGAACATTGGTCCTGAGGGGTGGGGAGCAGCGACATGCAGTGCTGCACCAAAGGCAGTTCAGCTGTGACTCGGGGGATCTGATCCCTGAGTGTGAACTGAGGTGGAGGGGAGTGATGATGACTAGTGGCCTCTTGGGGAAAGAGAGAATAAGGAGCAGGATGCTAAAAGCAATGTGCAATGTGATCCAGGGGGGACTGATACTCTTGATAGTTTATGCCCTTTTCCATTTTTTGTAGGGTTTTTAAAGATTGTAATTATTGAGAAATACATTTTCCCAAATGAGAAACTCAGGTTTTATTGGCGTGCTGGGAGGGGGTGGGATGACATCAAGGTGTTAAATGCATTATTCCTCCAGTGCAATACCATCATAGTACAGCACATCACCTCTCAGATACACCTAAACTAAACAGCTCACAGCTTTACCTACCACCAGGAGACAGCACAAGCAGTTAGGATGTACAGCCCCTCTTTTGTTCTTCTGTGCATCTCTTCCTCTGCAGTGATTCATGTTTCTGTTGCCCACCCCGAGCAGTTCCTGTAGTGCTGTAACAGGATAACTTCACTTGTGTAGGCAGCTACGTTTGGGTAAAAGTGTGTGGAAGCACAGTTTATTTTCATATGGGAAGATGAATAAACTCTGCCAGCATGTTCTGCTTTAAGCAAGTGTACGCAACCAAAGGTAGCCAAGCTCATGCAAATGTATAAAAATGTAATTGCTTCCATACCGGGATTTTTACTAGCATTATTTTGTGTTAGAAACGAATAAAATGCATAACAGCTTTACTGAAATACCTGTTTTTTTAATAAGAATTCAGCATAGAGGCTGTCTCTTTTAAGTTTTTTAGAGGTAGGATGTTCTTCATGGTTGAAAGGTTTTTGTTCTCCCAATGAGGTTTCAAAACCTCCATCCTACTGAGCCCTCATCCTATCCAATGTTAAACCTTAGGAAGGCTGTAATACTGTTTTGACAGCATAAAACAGATAGACCAAAGAACCCCAGCATCCCCAGTCTTCATGGGATACAGTAGATAGTGTAGGCTTCCTGCTTTTCCTTGGTTTAGAGTCCAAAAAATACACTGGTACCCATCTGCTGTTAATTTTGGTAGGAGCTTGGTTCCCACGGGGTTCTGCAGATTGGGGTCTGCCCCTGAAGTGTGTGTGAGAGGTTGCCTGTGGCCTCTTCTACCCCTGGTCATGCCTGTGTCTTCTCAGTGCCCCTTGGTGTGTTGTACAGATGTTTTTGGAAAGGGAAGATCTCGGGGAGTGCTGGGCTTTGTTCTGCTGTTTGGTGGGGTTTTGAGCACCTCTTGAGGGTTTCTGTTCCTCACAGCAGCTCTGCTGCAGCCTGCAATAGCCAGTGCCTTCTCCAAGCTTCTCTGAGTTGAAAAAGCAGAGAGGCTTTTCCATTCATGTTTTCATTATTTTCTGCTCTGTGATTCTGCATGAAAAGCAGTTACTGAAGTTATCGTACACGTAATTAGCTTCACAGTTCCCTAATAAAATCTGAAAGTAGGAGAAAGTCCACCGGGAATGCAGAACTCTTTCCCTAACCTTTCTTCATTCCTTTCTTGGAGGGAAAAGAGGCAGACAGACATCAGCTTTCTGTGTTAAGCCTGTACATGCCCCAGTGGAGCTGCCTCTCAAAAAAACACTTCCCACGTTCTGCAGGACAACTTCTTTTAAAAGCAGTTTCTCGTGATGGGCACGTTGCAAATCAAAACCATAATTTCAATCATGAGTTCCAGGGGAGACCCCAGAAAGAGCTGCTG